TCGCTCGAGTACTCACGAGGAGTTCCAGTATTTTCGATAAGTAATTAGGTTTTTTTATTGCTGTAGGCAAGGATTTGGTTCTTGGCATTTGCCGATGTCCATGAGCCACAATAACCACTTATCGGTTAAGCCATATGGTCGTCAATTCAAAACAGTAATAAAAATAAATTAATAAACCTGTTGTTAAGTGGTTAAGAGGTCATTGACATCACAACTTTAATGTTGTTACTTTGTTGTATTGTGTCACAGCCAACTGATCCTTTAAAACTGAAGGCATAGCAGAAATAGGCATAATGATTCTACCGGGATGATGTAGGCTGACAATATCATACCAACTATATGATTTCATTTTTTTTATCTCTACTAGCGGTCCTGCAGTAGTCGAAATTCGACTATAATTAATTGGAATTGTAAGTTTGTACACTATTATGATTGTATTTTATACTTCTATAATCACAAATTTCGCCAAGACTACACTACAAAAAATATTAACAAAGACAAACAATATTTAATCTATTCTCAATTTGACAACAGACTTGACGAACAAAAGTTTGACAATAAATAGTATGCATGCGTGTGTGCGTCAAATACATGGTGTGTAGTGTGTGTAATGTTTTTTTTATTGATTTTATGTATCTTTTATGCATAATAAAAAAAAATATTAGCATTGTGCACTTCTTCTCTATATTCTTTATAAGTGTGGAAAATTTCATACTCCTCCGTCCGCGCAATTTTCGTAAAAAGGGATACAAAGTTTTTGCTTCACGTATTAATATATCTCTATATATAGGCAAAGGTAAAACAGAGCGATATCTTTTTATCTTCTATTTGTTAACGGACTGTCCTTTTTTCGTTTACTGGTTATTGACGAGTTTAGTGATAACGTTGAAAAAATATTTCGCAACAGCTCTTTATACCTCTACTAAAAAAAAAGACAAACTGTAATTGAATAAACTAAGTCTTAATCTTTAAGTAGTGATTATGAGCGAATTGCGATAGTGGGCGGCTATTAATACCGATAGACAGAAAAATAGAGAAATCGGTCAGTTTGAAACTGTTGCTTGAGTAGATAAAAGAAATAAACAGGCGGTTCATAAAGCAATTTATACTTGGATCTTAGATCTTAAAGTACACCTTCATATTAAAACACCATAATTTGAATATCTGTAGGTATAGTAGGTAGGTATGGTAGGCAGCGGCTAGGCTCTGTCCCTGGCATTCCTGACGTCGATGAGCGACGGTGACCACTTACCATCAGGTGGGCCGTATGCTCGTCTGCCTACAAGGGCAAAAAAAGTTGTATCGTGCCTTATTTACCTAAAAGTGTTTGACATGTCTTTCTCGACAGGAATGTTTAGATACGCCTTAAATAGGAGCAAAGTATATCGAATGATTTGACCAAATCATTTTCCACAATGACTTGCTTGTTCCGCAAACACAGTTCTGTGTTGTGAGTCGTTTGTGGCAAGAGCTATCGTATTTGTTTATCGACTGCCGCTTTTGTGTTCCGCGACTTAAGATTATCGCGTTTCAAAAGAGTGACTTGTAAGATTCCTTAAAAAATAATGCGATCAGATTTTTTGTTAGTAAATGCGTCAACTATTTGTTCCTATTATTTTTAATGATTAAAATGAACATTTTCATTCAATGTATTAATTATAATATTTTTTAAAATAACTTTTAATCGCAAAGTGTTTGCAACACCGCTTTTCCAGTCACTGGTGGTAGGACCTCTTGTGAGTCCGCGCGGGTAGGTACAATCACCCTGCCTATTTCTGCCCTGAAGCATTAATGCGTTTCGGTTTGAAGGGTGGGGCAGCCGTTGTAACTATATTTGAGAACTTAGAACTTATATCTCAAGGTAGATGGCGCATTTACCTTGTATATGTTTATGAGCTTCGGTAACCGCTTAACATCAGGTGGGCCGTGAGCTCGTCCACATATCTAAGCAATAAAAAAATAATTAAAAAACTTTTAGAAGTATAAAATACAATTATAATAGTGTACAAACTTACAATTCCGATTATAGTCGAATTTTGACTACTGCGGGATATACTAGTAATAATAACAAAACAAAAGAGATGTCATAATATACAAAATGAATTTAAGCCTTGACGTGTCAGTGATTACGGTCGAATTTGGACCAAACGGCGAAAACTAGTCAAATTAAAATATCAAAAACATATCCACTGTATAATAATAATAATAGATGTTTTGTGCCGTCTTTGTCGTTATAAAGGGTTCATAAATATTAAAGACGTCAATCAATTTAATACGTTTTATAAAAAAAGCTCAGTTTAATGTGAAGTAGCTTACGATGTGCTTACGATATACCGTATTGCGTACGCGTCGCACGTGTGTACCGTTACCGGAGTCCGAGCCGCGGGCTTGAGGTGTTCTCACTGTGGAAAAAATACTAACAGTACGTCCAGTCTATACAGCAGGGCTATACAGTTGGTGGTAGGACCTCTTGTGAGTCCGCGCGGGTAGGAACCACCGCCTTGCCTATTTCTGCCGTGAAGCAGTAACGCGTTTCGGTTTGAAGGGTGGGGCAGCCGTTGTAACTATACTGAGATCTTAGAATTTATATCTCAAGGTGGGTGGCGCATTTACGTTGTAGGTGTCCATGGGCTCCAGTAACCACTTAACACTAGGTGGGCTGTGAGCTCATCCACCCATCTAAGCAATAAAAAAAAAACATTGAAGGTGCTTTCTTCTATATCGTTCACTCACTGCTAAGGATCGCGAGCACATGTGACGCTCCTCAACTGTGTTCGATCATGGGTGGCATTGACCGCATGATACAGATTACCAAGTGCTTCTCTTACTAGATCTGACCATCTGGCTGTTGTTCTGGCCACGGCGCGCTTGCGCTCTATGCGACCCGCAATTATGAGCCTCTGTAATTCATATCTGGGCGACCGCACGATGTGTCCGAAGAAGCTCATAACACGTTCCCGGCAGATAGCAGAGAGCCTTTTTCGGATGTTTAGAGCTACTTTAGGAAGGTTCTAACAAAAAAAAAAAACTTCCTGAGTCACCGAAACGCATTTTAATTGTTACCTAATCTTATGTTCTTCTGCCGCGATATAGAAACTCGTGACAGCTTCGCGGCAGAAATAGACTAGACGACTTTACCTCGCCTGGGTAGTCATATACTCTTTCACCTATTAAGCCATTGAAACATAAGTTAGCGTTCGTTAGATTATGTTTTTGATGTGTTCAAGATTACTGCAATATTTTTGCTCTTGTGCCTTGTACGAGATGAGTAGTGCGCTGTGTGCGACAGTAGTAATTACATCGCAGTCCACTTTAATACGTATCATCGTATGAGACGTGCTTCATTATCTAAATTCGTTAACAATTCAACTTCTCGTTTGAACTTTATCGTCATTAAAATAAAATTGAGAATCGATTGTGTGTTTGAACTCAAAACACGACTGGTTTTTAACCGAATGCTTAATGTGGAATGTTCATAGTTGTGATCGGTGTGCGAATTATGAACTAATAAAATGAATAGTTAACGTTTCAAAAGTAATATTTCAACTTTATCTGATGCTGTATAATTATAATATTATGTTAAAATTTTACCCGTTGTTTTAGTTTCCAATTGTCTTTTATTTTAAAGGTTGAATGATTTTTGTTAATGTGAATATAAATAAAACAAAGTTTTTGCTTCACGTATTAATATATAGATAAGAAGAAGGAATGTCAAATAGTTTTGTTCTGTTACGAGTTAATTCTTTTATCGACTACATACATGAGTGGGTACCGCGATCTTTTCTATTTCTGTAGTGGAGCAGTGATGCATCCCATTTTGAATGTTACGATAGCTGTTATACAATAGAATTGAGACTTGAACTCATATCTCAAGGTGGGTGGCGGCGTTAGTGTCATGATGTTTATAAAAGGGCACCCTTTTGTCCCTAATCGAACTTGTCACTAAACGAAATATGATTAGTGGCAAGTTTGTACTTGAAGATTAGAATTACAATATCTGTTTGATTGCGAATTGTAACTAGCTGCTTAGGTGAGCGCTACGTTATTTATTTTTTCTGTCCTGGGAACTACTTAATATTGGATAGCCAGTGAAATTCTTCGTTTATCTATATCAATTAAAAATTAATATAACGTACTTAATATGAGTTTTTGTCTGCCAATTGACAAACTAGTATCCGCAGGCAAATAACAACAAAAACTTATTATACTTATTATATTAAAATAACAATTCGTTTCCTTCGAAGTATTTTTAAATCCGTATACGTCTTATCTGCAAATCTATGTTAATTTACGTATCCGTAACCCGAATTCGGAATAGCTTCTACGATTTTCTCGAACAAAGTTCAGCGGAATTAAGTTTTGTTTACCTTAAGAATTTTCTATTCTGCGAATTAGAAAGTCGTAACGAAAATATCAACTATTGTATTGATTAATGCCCGAAGCGTTATTGCGATGCCTTTAACAAACGCGACGGCACCTAGCCGTTTTCATAATTTCTTTGATTCTGATGACCCGTCGATTAAATATTAAATAGATATCTGATAATCTGACTTAACAGTGTGAGAGATTCGAAAATAATGAATCATCGTGTTTCACAAGTTTTAGTAGTCGAAGCAAACAAAGTGAATCACTATTAAAAGGTAGAAATTGATGGTTTTTCACTACACATTCTGATGCGGGTAATGCTGTATCTTAATAGTATTCATGACAAGTGTCTCACGATGAGTGGTGGTATTGGCTTTGTGATGTGTATGGGATCGGGTAACCGATTAATTTATATATTAAAAATACAATATACATTAGTAAAAATGTTGGAGGTTGCCTACCTATGTCACGAAGCAGTAATTTTCTTCGGTTTTAAAGGCTGGAAAATCATTGACTCGAGGCGGGTGGTGGTATTAGCGATGGAGTAGCTACTCCTCTTAATTGTGGAAGCAAAAGAATAATATGTATTTTGACCTCACATTAAGTATTATTTCTTTGTTTCAGATTTTAATTGGTCCGGTATAGTGCAGTGATTCAAAATAAGGGGTAGTATGTGTGACGTCACCCTGACGAAGGCCAAACGAAGGTGACAGTTGTGGTTGCATGATAGTGTAGTAATTATGAACTGTTCAAGAGTGGATATTAGGCGGCGGAGGTGCGAATGTCGGTAAGTGTATTCATGTATTAACTGGTAAAATAGTGATAAACCTAAAAGAGTAAAATTTCGGTATTGATAATTCGATTAGAAAAAAAAGGACGTTTCCGATTAGAATGGAGCTTTTATCGAGTAATACATAATTTAGAGTACCTCGAGAGAGTCATTTAGAAGTCGTCGTGGCCTAAAGGATAAGACGTCCGGTGCATTCGTAGCGATGCAACGGTGTTCGAATCCTGCAGGCGGGTACCAATTTTTCTAATGAAATACGTACTTAACAATTGTTCACGATTGACTTCCACGGTGAAGGAATAACATCGTGTAATAAAAATCAAACCCGCAAAATTATAATTTGCGTAATTACTGGTGGTAGGACCTCTTGTGAGTCCGCACGGGTAGGTACCACCACCTCGCCTATTTCTGCCTTGAAGCAGTAATGCGTTTCGGTTTGAATAATGGGGCAGCCGTTGTAACTATACTTGAGACCTTAGAACTTCTATCTCAAGGTGTGTGGCGCATTTACGCTGTAGATGTCTATGGGTTCCAGTAACCACCAGGTGGGCTGTGAGCTCGTCCACACATATCTGCAATAAAAAAAAAACCTCTACTTAGATATACTTTTGTTTATTTGAATCTGGTGGGGTAGGGGATCTTGTGAGCCCACAAGCGTAGGTGTGTAGGTATGACGACGTTATTTCAGTGAAATTAGTAATTAGTAAAATCAGTAATTAGTTTCGGTTTGAATGCTAGTGCCACCGTTGTAATGTAGAAACTGATGCTAAGACTCAAGTATTAATATGGGTGGTGGCATTAGCATTGTTCATGTCTGTGGGCTCTGATAGCCACTTAACAGCGGGTCGGCCGTGAGTTCGTTCACCCACATCCATCTATCTATAATTATATAAAAATGAATTGCTGTTCGTTAGTCTCGCTAAAACTCGAGAACGGCTGGACTGATTTGGCTAATTTTGGTCTTGAATTATTTGTGAAAGTCCAGCGAATGTTTAAAAGGTAGATAAATATGAAAACGCTCGAAATTAAATAAAAATAACAATTTTGTTTTCGCTTTGATGTGTCCCCCGTCGAACGGATTCCTTTTGTTTGTTTTAAGTTTATTTTATACTAGCGACCCGCCCTCGCTTCGCTTCGGAAACATTAAAACAAACATGAAATCAAAAAAATAAAATAAAAAAAATAATAAAAAAAGTAGCCTATGTTCATCAGGGACAATGTCGGCTTCTAATGGAAAAAGAATTTTTCAAATCGGTCCAGTAATTTCGGAGCCTATTCGAAACAAACAAACAAACAAATCTTTCCTCTTTATAATATTATTATAGTATAGACAAAAGTTTAGGTCTTTTATTTATCGATTGAGGCACTACGAAGTCTGCCGGGTCAGCTAGTATGCAATAAAAAGTAATATGTTTAAAAAATTCGAAAAAACTATATAGATAATAAACAGTAAAACGTGTTTAGAGTTTTATGTAAATTTTGTATAAAACTGAGAAGAAACGAACGAATATCCGGTCTCATTAGTGCTATACCGTTTTACCATTTCATAACGGGACGTTGACCAATAAATATTTATAACTGATTCATTCATTTCGTGTCGCGTTTCCATAGAAACAAGAAGAATTTACTATATAGATGCTCTTACAAAATACTATGAGATTAACATATTTCTAAATAAAAAAGATTTGTATTCAATTTTTTGTAGTGCTTAGTAATGTATAAATTTAACTTTTTTTATTTTTTTTTATTGCCTTTGTAGGCAGACGAGCATACGGCCCACCTGATGGTAAGTGGTCACTGTCGCTCATGAACGTCAGGAATGCCAGAGGCAGAGCCAAGCCGCTGCCTACCATAAAGTATTCTCCGCAAGCCTCGTTTGAAGAAGGACATGTCATAGCGCTAGAGTTAATTCATTCATTCATATCAAAATTCATTTCGTTCATATCAAAATGTGTGTATGTAATCTTGGCCTATATTTATAATTCTATTATAAGTAAGATTCCTTTTTTTTATTTTTATTGCTTAGGTGGGTGGACGAGCTCACAGCCCACCTGGTGTTAAGTGGTTACTGGAGCCCATAGACATCTACAACGTAAATGCGCCACCCACCTTGAGATATAAGTTCTAAGGTCTCAGTATAGTTACAACGGCTACCCCACCCTTCGAACCGAAACGCATTACTGCTTCACGGCGGAAATAGGCGGGGTGGTGGTACCTACCCGTGCGGACTCCCAAGAGGTCCTACCACCAGTGATTACGCAAATTATAATTTTGCGGGTTTAATTTTTATTACACGATGTTATTCCTTCACCGTGGAAGTCAATCGTGAACATTTGTTGAGTACGTATTTCATTAGAAAAATTGGTACCCGCCTGCGGGATTCGAACACCGGTGCATCGCTACACACGAATGCACCGGACGTCTTATCCTTTAGGCCACGACGACTTCAAAATACTTCCTTGGTAGAATATGAAATAAATAGATGATACTATATACTATATTTATACAATAAATAATGATTGACTCGGTGTCCTTTGTTGACGGTCGGTGACGATTGTTGCGCTGAGGGTCGTGGTTTCGATTCCCACGTCGGGCAAGCATTCGTGTGATAAACAACAAACCTGTTCATCACACGAGTGCTTTTTGTGTGAGTATTTATTATTTATATTATGTATTCATTTTAAAAACATATTTAAGTATCTGTGTCAGTCTCTGGTACCCATGACCGTGCGTGATTTGTTCCCTGTTATTGATTTATCTTACTAATATTATAAACGCGAAATTTGTAAGTATGTATGGATTGTATGTATGTATGGATTTGGTAGGCAGCGGCTTGGCTCTGCCCCTGGCATTGCTGAAGTCCATGGGCGACGGTAACTACTCACCATCAGGTGGGCCGTATGCCCGTATAAAAAAAAAAGTATGATTGTTACTCTTTCGAGAAAAAGTTACTGGATGTATTTTAATGAAATTTTACAGAAATATAGCTTACACATCAGAATAACACATAGGCTATAATTTATAAAGATATATTGTGAATTACCCAAAATATAACAATAAGTGTCAAGTAAGCAGGAAAAAATCTGCCATCTCATTTTCATAATCAATAAAAAATTACAGTTTCCGAAGCGAAGAGAAGGCGGGTTGCTATTGGTTATAAAATAAAAATATTTTAATACTTATGATCATACTCGCGACCCGTCACAATATCTCCGATAAACATGTAAGATACCTATAACTTTTACGCCTATTGCATAATGATATATTTTCATATGTATACTAGCTGACTTCAAAAAAGGGAATTCAAAGATTCCCGGTTCGACTGTATTGTTTCTATATTATGCGCTGCCTCACTCAACTTTTTCTAGGTGGACCGATTTTAATTGACTACGACTTCATTGATGATACCCTTATTCATGATACCCTTATTTTATTTTGTTAAAATCCTTTTTTCTTTCCTACGAATATTTTGTTGTATAAACTCTTTTATTATTACTCATAACAACTGATATATTGTGAAATGTTTTACATGACCTATTTAAACGTACACTTTAGAACTGTCGATTTTAATTTACAATTACTTTACTAGTGGTAGGACCTGTTGTGAGTCCGCACGGGTAGGTACCACCCCGCCTATTTCTGCCGTGAAGCAGTAATGCGTTTCGGCTTGAAGGGTGCGGCAGCGGTTGTAGCTATACTGAGATCTTAGAAATTATCTTTCAAGGAGGGTGGCGCATTTACCAGTAACCACTTAACACCAGGTGGGCTGTGATCTCGTCCACCCTCTAAGCATTAAAAAATGCTTTGCTGGTATTCGGTAGAAATGTGTTTACGCAATTATGTGCAACATAATGTCAGGAGAATGTGCAGTTCGATTTCTTTATAGACGGCTACTCATTACAGTTTAAAACTGTATCTTGAACGGAAGATAGGAAAATTGCCAACACTATTGCTAAGATTATCATGAGGCCGTTAAGAGCACTGTTTTTGATGCTGACATCTGACAATCTCCGACAGGCTGATAACTTAATGTGTATTAGTTGCATAGACTATGACAAGATTGAAATGTCGCAGTCTAGACAATATCTAAGTCCTGATTCGATGTTCGATGATAGTGTAACGAGAAAATGTTGTAATCGATTCTTTTGTTATTTTGTTAAAATTTTGAATAATCACCTTTTCATTAAATGATATACATATGTAAGTGATTGAGCATGAACTCCTACGATGATCGAGCAAGCCACGCCTGAATGATTCGTCAAATTTAATTTAGATGTTCCTCAGATACATTGTAAATGAGAATAATTTGTTACAATCACGATGTCGGTACTCATTCCGCTTCTCGATGCACACGAGCGATCATTAATATGATTTGAGTACGCATCGTGTCCGTTGTAAGGGCTATTACACACGGAACTCTTAAAGTGAGTTTAATTAATTTAAAAAAAACGTGTGTCTATTCAAATAAGTAAATACTAGATGATAACCGAGCTTTGATCGGTATTTTCTTTGATAACGCCATCTTGTTGTGTCTTTAAAGCGGTTAGTTGCCCTCAATTAAGAAAAATAGTACTATTATTCGCCAATAGATGTCGGGAAGAGTTGATTATTGAAAACACGAATAAAACAACATTTTCTGAAAATAAATCGTAGCTAGATCGATTTATCGCTCCCGAAATCCCCTGTATACTAAATTTTATGAAAATCCTTGGAGCCGTTTCCGATATATATATATATATACAAGAATTGCTCGTTTAAAGGTATAATATTAAAGAGAAATTACATGGCTTCCAGGGTGAGCTACTGGTTTAATGCGACCTTGATTCTCTCTGCTTTTTTGGAACTGTTCTGCGTTAAACGATTTTTTTTTACTGGTGGTAGGACCTCTTGTGAGTCCGCACGGGTAGGTACCACCGCCCTGCCTATTTCTGCCGTGAAGCAGTAATTCGTTTCGGCTTGAAGGGGGGGCAGCTGTTGTAACTATACTGAGACCTTAGAACTTATATCTCAAGGTGGGTGGCGCATTTACGTTGTAGATGTCTATAGGCTCTGGTAACCACTTAACACCAGATGGGCTGTGAGCTCGTCTACCCATCTAAGCAATAAAAAAATAATGAAAGTAAAAAAATAAAATATAAATCAATCGATTTTAAAATACAAGTATGTACAGAGCCGAATGAGATTCAGAACTTTGTGCCGACACTCGTACATTTGATTGATGAAAACGCCCCGCATACCGCGACCGAATGGGGAGCTTCGAAGACCTATGAAGCTCGTTATCTAAGAGATTTTGGATACATTAAAAAAGAAATTTCATCTATTATTATAGAATTTTTATTAATTAATTTCTGAACCAGTTTTTACTACAAATTTTCGCTTTGTTCACAAAGAAACGATATTAATAATTAAAAACTATTATTGTTTAAGTACTTTCTGTACTTTGCACAGAGAATGAGTCTGGCTGTCCAACGAGGTAACGTAGCCAGTATCTTGGGAACTGTGCCTCCTTCAAGCGCATTGGAAGATTTGTTCTACTGTATGTGTTGATTTATGTTAAATTATTTTGATTTGTTATATTATAAAATTAAAGTTGAATTATATTTAAATTTTTTTTTATCAAAATATTGTTTAAGTTAAATAAGTTTTGATAGTAATTACAAAGAATTAGGACATATTCCTATGAAATCATTATTAAAGTTCCTATTCCGCATATTTTTTATACAAACGAGATTACCATTTACTATTTCACGCCGACAATGTAATGTTTAGATTATATTTTTATTTATTTACAATTAAAAAAAAAGTAAATTCAATAAATTTATATTATTTATGAGGACCGCGTTATCATATTATGCCATTAACATCAGCTTGACTAAGCACTACGTTAGATGAATTCTAATTATTTCATTGTTGTTTTCGAAATATAAAAATATATTACAGGTTCGTAAAGTTAAATTTTGCGGTATTCATATCAAATACACAGCTATTAGGTGTTCACAAATGATTTTCAGGATGAAAGAAAAATATCGCGTAATTACCTTGCTATGGTGCTACGCAGTCGTGTGTCTCAGTTTGATGGCTGGGACGATTGAGAATTCGATGCTCATATCTTTCGGTCATTGGCGGCGTCAACGTTGTCTCGTCTATGGGTTATGGTGGCTGTATACAACTATATGGCTATAATAAAGATGTGTGGTGTCGTGGGACACCGGATAGGATGAAGTTCCTTATTATAAAAATATTAATTTTAAGTTCTATTCGAGGTATAAAGAAAATAAAACTGGAGGTTTCGCAATAACCCACGGTCATTCGGTAACGTGCGAACTTATTGTGGTACACTTCATTCACGGTTGTTTGCATAAGAGTTAGTGTATTGCACAAACGAGCGCTCTGAGATCGTGGTCAATGAATGATAAAAAAATATTACTAATTTGTACGTTATTACAAATTTAAGTTACACTGTGTGCATTACTTATAAAAATCTTACGTTACGGACGTTTTTTCCCGGTTAGGGTACCTCTCCTCATCGTTCCATAAGGAACTCCGTTCCAATAAACGATTGTTAATTAAAAACCAAACTCACACGTCTTAGCATATTATTATAGTCTTACCTCGACATTCATTCTTTGGTCTCATATTAAAAGCTGTATTTGTCAGTACGGTATTATTTGAGTGAAATTGTTTGACGCATCGCTGTCGTGAAATGCTATTTACATACTAGATCACGCCTGGGTAGCGTGAAAGTGAATAGTTTTGAAAGCAATTTTTTACATGTAATATCTTATTAGAATTTAAATACAGTCTTATTGTGAATGTAATCGTATTATGACATAAGAATAGTCTTTGGTGTTTTTAAGCCACACAAAACGCAGGCTAACTTAGTTCGGAGACCATTTTGTTAATGGGTAAGTTGAACAGAATTAGGACACAGATCTTGTCTTAAACTAGGCTGCGGCATTTCAATCTTGTCATTGTCTATGTAACTAATACACATTAAGTTATCGGCCTGTCGGAGATTGTCAGATGTCAGAATCAAAAATAGCGTTCTTAACGGCCACATGATAATCTAGTGCTGGCAATTTTCCTATCTTCCGTTCAAGATACAGTTTTAAATGTACAAGTAGCCGTCTATAAAGAAATCGAACTGCATATTTTTCTAACGTTATGTTGCTGCACATGGTCCCGTAGGCACGTATGTACCAAATGCCAGCAACGGAATTGTAAATTAAAATCGACACTTGTAAGGTTATATGTAAGTAGATATTTTAAAACATACCACGATGTATCAGTTTTTATGTGTGTTAAGATAATTGATATAAAATGAGTATTGAAAAAAGGACTTTATTAATATAAAATGAGAGTATTATCAATGAAGTTGTAGGCGTCGTTGAATATATGCATTATTAAGGATAACTCAAAAACTACTGACGAAATCTAGAAACAACAAGAGAAGTATCAGCTTTCATATCATTAAAAAAAAACCACTTGTTGCACTCGGGGACTGCCGCGGTAAAGCTTTTGCATAGTACTTTTTATCAACTTTGCAATTATAATTAGATAATAATAATTTAATATTAAAACAATAATAAAATAAGACCGTGCTATAATTAAAAACATTAACGAAAGCAAAAGATGTCGACGCCACGCCACGCGCTTATTCACCACAAAAACTTCACAAGCGCAATGTGTTGAACGCGAGCTACATGGTAGGCGGAGTGGGAGTGTTAGGTTTTATTTTCGTTACGAAATTTCTTGATTCGCTCGCCGCACTCAAAGTCCGCGATAAAAGCTATGCAATATCTTTAAACATTAATAAAATCTATTTGTCTAAAAGTTCTGAGATAACGCACATAAAAACAGTAGGCTGAGAGCTTCCTTCTCCCTTTTCGAAGTTCATTAATAATATTAAGGCGCGTATGGGTAGCAGTGATACTGACGTAATATCGCTTTCTTTCAGGCATTTTTTTTTTTTTGTCAGGAGGAAATCGCCGGACTCCCACCCTCCACTGGGGATGGAGGGTGGGGCATGTCGGAGTCGAACCGACTAAAACCTCCTGTCGCTCAACAACCAACGTCCAACCCTCGCATGAGACAGAACTCATGAAAAGGCAAGGGGAGGAGAGTGAAGCGTTTAGTGCGGAGCACATCTCTCCCATCACCCTCCCCCTCGGGACGCCGGGCCAGCGATCGTCGGCGCCACGACCACCAGCCCTCTCGGTCGGCAGGCTGTCCGAAGCCCGCCTAGATGGCGCCGGTTTGAATAGGTTATCCTACGAAATACCCCGCTGGGTCAGAACCAGCGTGGGTCGAGGATAGCCGGCCTTCCATCACCCGGATGCTCTTGCGTAAAACGCGTGCAGAGCAGCTTGCACGTCGTCTTCTTAGGCCCCCTTCGCCGGGCCCCAGACCGACATATGAGGGGGACCCGAAACACTTAGAGGGCCAGGGCTAGGGCGAGATCTGCCTCCCTGGCCCCCGCTCGACGGCGGCGGGCTTGTGCGTCTCTGACGCGCCCCGCCGCCTCCTTCTGCGAGATGGTGCACTCGCAGAAGTCGAGCACCGCCTTCCACGACTCGTCGTTGCCGAGCATCGATTCTTTCAGGCATAGCATACTTTTGTTCTTTTATTATACCTACGTTTTTATTCCTTAAGGCAGGCGAATGTAAATAATTACTGGAGCCAGCGATCGAAGTAACAATTGTATAAAATATTCATAGTAGACATGTTCTGCGGCTGATATCCTATATTATTTGACATGTGTATTAGATGAGTTGCAACCATTAATTACTGAAATCTATGAATGTAGATACAACGCTTCTGATGTCAAACGCTAACTAAAATGTCTTCAAATAAATACAAATTCTACCTGTCAGAAATTGGTTTTTAAATAATATATAATAATATAATCACGAAATATATAATCACATACTAATTAATTGTATTATTGTTACAGGTACAACATGACATCCATTGCGTCACATCTAAAAAAGTCAATAGCTCTATGGCTTCTCTTAGCTTTAATAAATGTGAGTATTATGAATGTAAAATAGAAGAGCATTCGTGAGAAACTGTATGCTTCTTAATAGTATATTAAAATTACTGTTATTTTATTTATTTCTTTCGAATATTTCGTGGTCTAGGAAGACCGAAGTCTAAATTATAGATTTTTGAATATTTTGTTTGCTATCTACCGTATTTTTTTCTATAATAATATCAAGTGTTATTTAAGTTTCTTGGTACACAGAAAGAACTAATAAGAACATGAAATCTAGTGGTTTGTTTGCATGCAGATTATTTGGTCTTTTCATCTTCTTTTTTTTTGTTGCCCTTGTAGGCAGACGAGCATACGGCCTTGATGGTGAGTGGTTACCGTCGTCCATGGACTCAAGCAACGCTAGGGGTGGAGCCAAACCACTGCCTACCGAAAGCTGCCATCTTCAAGATAAGAGCAACCTAGGCTCTACCACCCGCCTAAAGGGTTGAGAAGCAGCCTTCTTTGAATATTATTATTGAATATCAGCGGATTACGATCGCCAATTACCATTTTCTGATGGTGGGTGTATTGTAAGGCCTATGGATCTTCTTCTGGATATTTCTGGCGCGAGATTACTAGCGGTAGGCATTGGCTTGGTGTCCTTTGTATTGCTGATGTCCATGAACGATGGTAATTACTCCCCATCCAGATGGGCCGTATGTACGTTTGTCTAACAAAGGCAATAAAGAATTTAACCAATATTTATACAAATTGAGAATGTTTTCTTTCAATTTGTACAAACAGTATAGCGTCATATGATCACGCAATGACACATCATTTTCTCACCAGTCTAGAAATCTAGCATCGTTCAATTTCAATTGAACACAGTATAAATGATTTACAAATGATACAGCAGGTTCTGAGCGGCGAATCAATAAGCACACTTTCATTCTTCATTGAGTAACGTGTGAATGTTTTTTTTGTTTTTGTTTTTGGCAATTTGTTTTCAATTGTTTTTTTGGAAGAAAAATATTACGAATTTGTAAGTTTTTTTTTGTTGGTATACTTTTGTTAGTGCAACCATCATGCACTTATAAAAGCTGTAAATATAAAATGACAATGAGAAACGCAAGATTAAACCGTAAAATTAGTTTCAATACATACAATTGAACCCTCTTAGTTTATACACTGTATAAGGTTGATATTTAATTTAATTTAGTAAATATTGGAGCCCATGGACTTCACCACTTGAATGTTGCCCTCGCCTTCGAATATCGAGTCTAAATCTTAATTAAGAACTGATACTCAAATTTATTACTTAACAGCCAAAAATCGATCGAAATGATGACCCCATTCCATTAAATTGTTCTCACAAAAAAGTTGCCCCTTTTAAAATGAAAAATATTTTTCATTAATTTCCGTTTTGAAATATGTAATAGAACAGCAACCGTAAACAAACGCTGATTCTATCCGCGTTAAACAAAAACCCGACCCGGTGCTTGGTAAGCAGAATCGAAGTCCCGTCCTTGACGAGGCCGAGGTAACCCGGCAAATCGATATTGGTATTGCAACAAATTAACCGCAACGCTCTAAAGTGACTTTCTAATTGAGACGGCTATCTGTCCGCTCTGCTTGGTCGCATCCGGCACGCATCCCACATATTGCACACGTTGAAATTGGAGCACCCGTGTAAAAACATACGGATGGCGCGTTCGCGGTTAAAAGAATTTTCTAGATACGAGCGTTAATGCTAGTTTATTCCGGCGGCTGGGAAGGGGGAAAATTGAAAACGATGTGACAACGGTGACTCGGACGAAATACGTGCGAATATAATGTGAACATAACATGCAGCGGTCATAAATAAACTATGCAAATAAATAGGAATAACATTTATCTCGATCAGGTTAAAATTTGGTCAGAGCTGTTTCAACTGATGGTAGTTTACTAGTAGTATGACCTCTTGTGTGTCCGCGCGGGTAAGGACCACCACCCTGCCTATTCGGCCGTGAAACAGTAATGCTTTTTGGTTTGAAGGGTGGGGCAGCCGTTGTAACTATACTTGAGACCTTAGAATTTATATCTCAAGGTGGGTGGAGCATTTACGTTGTAGATGTCTATGGGCACCAACAACCACTTAACACCAGGTGGGCTGTGAGCTTATCCACCCACCTAAGCAATAAAAAAATTAAAAGAATAAAAAAAAAAATAACTAAACAGTTTGATTAAAATTAAATTTACGCAATACAAAAAGTAGTCTTGCATTCCGTATTGTTGTGTGGGGTAGCCATTATACAATATAATTGAGATATTGACCCCAAGTTTTAAGACAGTTTGCGTTATTCAGGTCATGATGTCTAAAATTTAATTTAAAGTTATATCGATTCTGGGCTCCGGTTGCTTTACGGAAAGAAGAACTTAACTATTTCTATCAACCCATAGACACAGCCCACTGAGCTTCTCGCCGGATCTCAGGTGATCGCGTTTCCGATCCGGTGGTAGATTCTACGAAGCACTGCTCTTGCTAAGGCCAGTGTTAGCAACACTGCGGTTTGAGCCCCGCGAGCTCACCTACACGTCAAGGAGAAGCTGAAATAGCCTCTCAAGGCTATCAGCACAGGTAGAAAAAAAAAAGTTTTACCTATATAACTCTATTCCTATTCATAGAAATAAAAATTAATATAAGTAATAATATTTGCGTACAGAAACTTAGGCTTTGAAAATTCTTTTTTTTAATGTAAAAAGCGTCTATCAGCGTTTACTTAACACGGCCATTAGTTCATAGACAAATTGTCAATTGTATAAATACACATCCTGAACTTGTCGCCTACGTGAAAGTCGTGCGAACATATCACGTGACCCATTGTGTACGTCATGTCCCATCGACTCGATTATCCGTTTGCTAATTACACGGCGACCCAGTTAAAACCATGCAATGATAGTTAAGGAAATTGTCGCAAATCAGTCTGGGCATTTTAATTCGCCAGGAATCGTCGGAATCACACGGTTTCCGTTTTATTTATTTATATTATTGCTAAATTAAATAAATTATCGTGATTGTCGGTTTAGTATCGCTGTACTGCATACTTGGATTTATTATTGTATTTTCAGTCAGAAGTAAACGAATTTTTAACATCACAAGACGTTTCGCCTGGAGCAGAGAAAGAAAACGTAAATAATGATGTAAAAACATTTTAGCTGCATTGCCTCTCAAGTGATTTGCATTCAAGATGTGAATACAGCGTCGATAAGATCTGCCGGTATTACCGACAAACGCGTCGTTTTGTATGACCGATAAAAATCTCTTTTGAATTATACATATAAATTTTGTTTTCACGAATACTACATACGTACACAGGTTTTGATATTTTCACAGCAAAAGATTTTACTGAATATATTCCAGATTTTTTTCTGCTTTTCTGTCTAGGTTAAATCGTTACAATAATATCATCTGAAAGACAAAAAAAAAAACGATATTTTGACTAAGCTTAAAAATATTTCAGTTTTTTTTTTATTGCTTAGACGGATGCCGAGCTCACGGCCCAACTGGTGTTAAATGGTTGCCGGAGCCCATAGACATCTTCAACGTAAATGCCGCAACCCACCTTGGGACATGAGTTGTAAGGGTCTCAGTTTTAACAGTACAACGGCTGTCCCGCCCTTCAAACCGAAACGTATTACTGCTTCACGGAAGAAAATAGGCAGAGCGGTGGTACCTACCCGTGCAGACTCACAAGAGGTCCTACCACCAGTAACTACGCAAATTATAATTTTGCAGGTTTGATTTTTATTACACGATGTTATTCCTTCACCGTGGAAGTCAATCGTGAGCATTTGTTAAGTACGTATTATATTTCATCAGAAAAATTGGTATCCGCCAGCGGGATCCGAACACCGATGCATCGTAAGATGCGAATACACTGAACGTCTTATCCTTTAGGCCACGACGACTTAATACAAATTTGAGTTAACTTTTAAGCGATCGTGAAGTTAAAAAACTCGCACTAAGCACCCAGTTCAACAATAAACATTGTTGTCAACTAAAATCATAGTTCCGTGTTGAAAGTCGGCCCAAGCGAAATATAGTTCAACGTGCGGCACTAAAGGTCTGTTCGTCTCGGATGCAACAGAACTTGCAATTTGCGGTGCATCCATGAATAATGTATCCAAGGTTGTTTTGCTAACAATAAGACACGCGGCGCGCGACGTGATCCGAATGTTGCAATCGTAACGGTCACAACTTCACCTATCCACGTTTCTGATGAATATGCAGATCTCATGATGACGACCCGCCTCGGAATTCTAACGGTTGGGTCACTTTGACAACTAAACGTTTTGTCCCAGCGCGTCTCGGTTTCAGCTATCAAATATTTATAAGGAGCCGGTTTTTTTGGGTCTGACAAGTTTTTGACTAGAAGATGAATCGTTAAATACGTTTCTGTCTGTTCTATCTGTGCTTTTAGTAATTTCTATGAGTTTATAGGAATCCGTAATAATTTTTATTACCGAGCGTATTCACGATAGGAAGGTAAATGACAGGGGAATGTTAACTGGACTGGGACTGAATTCATCTTGTGATGTCTGTGAATCCCAGTAACGACTTAGCATCATATATTATAAAAATAGAACTGGGTCATCTGTTTTGAAATTCTGAATGATGAAATTTTTCCCTATGGTAGGCAAAAAATAATCACTGACATAAAATATGCTACAGTCTGTCTTGGTCGAATTAGAGGTGGGTACTGCGACTTTTGTGAAATCAACCCTTTCGCTGCCGTGTAGGTCACTGGTGCCTTACGCGGTGCACTGAAGTAATTGTGTCGATTTCTGTTACTAAGGGACCTGGATTGCCCAACTTTGTCTTCTTTTGTTTGTTAATGTATGTTTTAGTTTTTTAGGTCTCTTAGAAATAAATTTATTCTCAGTATCTTCACATTCGTCTTTTCCAGAGTCTACTAGATATTCGAAGAGAGAAATCGACATAATTACATCAGTGCGCCACGTAGGGTACCGCTAGCCTTCATGGCAGTCAACGTGTTAATAGAGCTCTACTCT